AAAGTAAGGGGTAAAAGTGGTTTTTTAATAGAAAATTAGAAATGGGTAAGAGATTATGGGACGCAATTTTTTGAAACGTGTAAATCTTGTTGGGACGGAGGGAGTATTTTCTAGACAAATTTGAAGCAGTAAATCAAAGAAACAAAGCTTAATCTCTTCAAATTTTTCTTTTTCTTCAAGATCTAGCTCATCCCTAAGGACCCTTCAATCTCAATCTATTTTTTCCTAAAATTTCCATTATCTATATTTCATTTATTTCCCTGATTTTCTTGCGGATACAGTATTTCCTATGAAAAAACTTCATTCTCTTTTCGGTTTTCACTTAACTAGTATGGTGAAAATGGCAAAGTGAAATTAAAGAAGAACATACTACAGTCCGTTTGGATTTATTTATCGATTTTCTCATTTTCAATGAGGTTTTCACTTTATAGTCCGTTTTTCTTTATTAATAAAGAGAAGAAAAATGTTTGTGTTTGAAATAACGAAAAGTTGTTTTTCAAAATTATATTTAAAAAATAAAAAAAATAAAAAAAGTGTTTGTAAATGAAATAAAAAATGAAATAGAAAAATTAACATTTACTTCATTTGTCAAATTAAATATTTCCATTTTTGTCTAATTGTATTTTATTTTATTTTTTGTGAATATGTCGGGACCAAAAGAGTATTGAGTAAGGTCTTTTAATATATAGTTAATTATATATCAATAATATTTTTTGGACCGGTGCGCAAGAGATTTTGTTCGTGACCTAATTTTTCCTCATTGTTTTTTCCATATACCTTTCTTTCTCCTTATTTTCTTTTCTATTCTTTTTTCTTTTATTTTAATTTTGATTAAAATAAGATAAATGGTATAAATTAATTTTAAAAAATCAAAAAGTGAGAAAAAATAAATAAAGAAATCAGAAAATGAGAAACGAGCTTTAGTGTAAAAAGAGAATGTTCTTTTATTTTTGTATCATGAAAATGAACCAATAAAGACCTCTTTTGGACAAAAAAATGAAAATATTTGACTTGACATGAATGAAATGTACATTAATTATTTTTATATAATTGACTTTTTCATTCAAAACACATAAAGTTTTGATTATTAAAACATTATAAAAAAATAGTTTTAAAAAAATTTAAAAACACTTATGAAAAAATAGTAGAAAAGAGTAAAACAATAAAGAAAAAGAGAGAGGGCGTTGGTGCCCATTTCCAAAAACTTATGGGGAAGCGGTCACCTAATATTTCAAAGATATTTTATCCTAGAACATTGGTCTAGTAATATTTGAACCAGGGGGGCAATAACATAAGTTTTGAAATCATGCGGTCACGTTGCACATTTTACCAAATAATAGAGGGCATTAGTGCAATAAACTCTATCTAAAATTATTATTATTATTATTATTTAATTGCATATAATATTATAATAGAAATTATTAATTTTTAGGGAAAGAATTGTAAATATTAAATTATATGCAATGTTAAATAATCTAACATGATTTAATTGTATCGTAATAATTATTTGATCATAGAAAAAATATTAACATCATTTTATAATACTTTTCCTCATTGATCTGATTTGATTATAACCGATCTGATCTCTTTAACTCATTTTTTACATATTAGTTATGACTTATTCTTATAAAAGGTATATTAGATCCGATTTATTCAGAAAATTAGATTAGATCATACTAGAAAAATATTACAACTAAAGTATTATTATTATGATTATTGTTATATGTATTATTACAATATAATTTCTCCGTTTATATAAATTGAGTAAAATATAGAAATTGAGCAAGAGAAATGAAAATAGAGGATTGAACTTAAGGCCTGTTCTTTAGGGCTTGAACTCTTAACTTCCAATTTCTTCCAATTTTTTCCAGTTTCTTCCGGTTCCTTCCAATTCTTCCAATTCCTTCCAGTTTCTTCTAGTTTTTTCCAGTTCCTTCCAACTTTTTTCATTTTTTTCAAATTCTTTCTACTCCTCAACCAATTACTCTAAAAATGATATATTTCAATGTGATTATTATTATTATTATTATTATTATTATTATATTTATTATTATTATTACAACTTTTATATTCATAACTGTAGTTTATAAATTTTTTTTCATCTCACTATTTTTACGATTCACACTTATTATTTTTTTCTTCAACTTTTTAATATGAATAAAGCATTTTTTGTATATTAGTCTACTTGATAAAACAGGAAAACATCAATATGTTAAATTATACTAAAAAGTTCTGGATAAAATAGTTACATTGAATGTTTTATTAATACAACTTTTTATAAGACATCTCAGTTTTCCCTTTATTACTTAAAAATTGCTCATTTTTCTAATTTTTATAAAAAAAAATTGTAAGTCAAAAGAGCTTAGAGAAAAAGACTAAAATATGAGTAAAACATAAAAAATGTAAATAAAAAAGTTCTATGTCTTAATTCCAAAAATAGGAATTCAATGAAAATAAAATGTCAATCATGAAAGAAACAATAGGTTTGATTATGTGACATGTATGATTTTTAAAACAAAATGTTTTAATATATAAATTATAATTACAAATACATTATTTATAATAAATACTGCATAAATAAATTGAGGTGCAACATAACTACACAGCCTTTTTAAAATTTAATATTTTTATATTTATGCTAACTTTATATTATAACTATTTTTTTGTAAAAGTAGTTTTTTGTATTTAAAAAATAACAATACTTTTTTTATATCTTAAAGTAATTCACTTAGGTAACGTGATGATGATGATACAAAAAAATACTTTTGTATTTAAAAAATAACAAAAAAAATGGCATACTTAAATGAAAAAGAAATCATGGGAACTTGTGGACAGAAACACGGAAGAGGAAGAAATGAACATTAACTTTTAATTTGCTTAGATATCCCTGGGCCTAATTACTAATTTAAAAAATTTATTTAATCATACTTAAAAGATGTGACATATATATGTGTACAATTGTCTATTAGTTATTGGTGCACATAAGGAGTGTTTTAAAACACCTTATTTAAGAGGGGCACCAAAGAATTTACCAATTTAAGGGGATAGAAACCATCAATTTTACTAATAGAGCACTGTAAATGCCCCGGGTCATAACATGACCTTGATTTCCAAGGTCAAAAGAACTGTTGTGTTCTAGCATTTCTCTTAAAAAACTACTAAAAATGTTTGAATTTTCGAAGAACATAAAAGATAACATAAAATGTGGCACTAAAACGATGAGGTATAGATATTATTAATGGTATATTAGGCCCAAACAAAATTAATACTTATGATATCAAGGGCAATGCCGAATCATGACTTCAACTAATTTTAAGGTTGACCAATTTTGAGTTCCTATGGTTTTTCGATCAAAAAATAAATGATTTGCTAATTTGCTAAAATTAGCAAATTTGCTAATTTGCTAGATCATTGCCCTTGATATCAAGGGCAATGCCGAATCACTCTTACCTCCACCTCACCTTCCCAAAATGCCAATTTGCTAAAACAATTATTGTATCAATTCAACATTTTAGAAAGAGAGATTAACTAGGATGGTGGGGCAAGGACAAATATGTGGGTTGTATTATGAATCATTGATTTTTTTTATCAAGACACCATAAATATCTGATGTCATAATTAATATGGTGCGTGTACTGTATAACCGACTGTATAGGAACTATGGAACGGTACAGTCGGACAATACTCGTTTTGAAGTAAAAGAGTATTTAGTTTGAAATAACATGTTGTTCATTTTGAATCACGTAGTATTCATTTTCATATATTTATTCATTACAATTATAATATTTATTTACGAATAAGTATTGTTCATTCTGAAACGTGTTGCATGTTCATTCTCAAATAATGTAGAGTTCATTCTCAAATAACACCAGTGTTCATTCTGAAGCAGCGTATCATTCATATCACCCAATTCTGAAGCAATTCATGTGTTACGTACCTCTGGAATCTGCAACCCCTATTATAATAGAAATGTTCTGCCTCTCCATCGTCACGCCGTCCTCACCATCTCTGATTCGCCCATTCATCTTGAACAAATATTCAGAGAGAGTAGAATTGTAAAATCAAACCCATCCAAAAGAAGGGAGGAAGGATAATGAGTTGTAGCCCCGGGAGCATCACCGCTGCAAGAGGCCAGCCATCGTTTCCGCCATTACTTAGGGTCAAGTTGCCGCCCCCAATGCGCGGGCAGTCCATCACCTTCCCCAACTTGCAAAATTGATTTCGGCTATACGATTATTCCCGCAAAGCTGGATGTACGGTATAATTTACGGAAGACCTATCGATGAATTTCTAGCACGATTCTTTATTTTTTGTTATAATTTTTTTAGCGGGAAATTTTGAGTTTCGATCCAAACGCACCCTTCCACATAGACCTGGCAAAAAATGACCCGACCAGTTTTTGACCAGAAACCCGACCTGAAAACACTGAGTTTTGAACAAAGGTTTTGATGGCCGAACCCCAAGTTGACCGAACCCAAAATGACCCGCTAAAAATGGGTCAAACCCGACCGAACCCAAACCCGACCTAACCGACCCGCTAAAGTAAGAGTTTTTCAAAATCATACACTTTACTACTCGTTTTGAGTGTATAAATTTATATTTTCAAACAAAAATTTATGATAATGCATAATTATCTTACTTTTTCTAAAACTTAAGCATTTTTTAAATTCCTTATATTGATAATTGATCTATATATCTAAAAAATAATTCAAAGTTTAAAATAAAACAATCTAATAGATTTAATGCATATATTTTGATATTTTAAATTTATTTAATACAAAATGTAAGTGTTAATGTGAATTTAAAAATTTAAAAAATCAAAGTCATAACCCGTTGGGTTGACTCGAACTCGATGACACTGGGTCATGAACATACAGTTCTTAACCCGAACCCAAAATAACCCAAACTCAAAGTGACCGAACTCGAATCCGACCTGACCGATCAATTTGGCAGCTCTACTTCCACACGTTGACGTCCATGCAGGACACCTACTGCAATAAAGAAGAGGAATGACCCACCAATTAAAGCCCCCCCCCCCCCCCACCTCCGTACCTTATCGATCTCTTCTTCCCTTATAAATTCTCTTGGAAAGAGGCAATTAAACTGGAGGAGAAATTAGAAGTATAACACTTTATTGGAAAAATACTTCGTAGAGAAAGATGAGTACAAAGGGAAGAACAACCATAGAGGTTGGAAGTGATGGAGTGGCAATCATCACCATCATCAACCCTCCTGTCAATTCACTTTCGCTCGATGGTATTTCCCGATTTTTGGTATTTGTAATTGCTACTTCATTCTGGAAAAAGTTGCAATATTATAAATTTTACATCTTGTTCATGTACAGATTAAACCCTTGATATCAATTTTTTTAGTATGGAGAATCCCATTCATATCATGAAAATTTAATATCCGAGGCCACTGTTTTTCCATAGAGAAGTGGTCAAATGAGAGTGATGAAATCAGCGTATGTGAATAGTATAAAACTTTGGCATAGTTTTCCCTTTTCAGTTTAGAATCAGACAATGAGTTTAGCTTGATCTTGCTTCCGTTTGTTGTCAAGTGTTTTTCTCAACTCTCTCTGAGCTTAAAATGAAAACTGATTCTTGAAGGGTTTATTTCAATTGAGGGTTTTGCTCCGAATTGTATAGTTTCAATAATCAGTATGATGCCATGCTACTGATTCTTGAAGGGTTTATTTCAAATAATTTTCATTTCTGGGAAAACTTTTTGTAGACTGATCTCATTGTTTTCTAGAAACTATTGCAAGGGTCATATTTGTGTTACTAAATTAAGATTATTTTTGAATCGTAGAAAATGATATCTACGGAGTAATTAGACCTGGCAAAATAGAATCGGAACCGATTACCCGAACCGAAATATCCGAAACCGAAACCGGAATGACCCAAAAAATGAAGATCCGATCTATAACCGAAAACTTGAAATGATCCGAATCGAACCGAAACTGAACTAAATAATTCATATCCGATTTAAATCCGAAATCGATTAGATCCGAAACCGATATTATCCGAACCGATTAAACCCGAAACCAATTAGATCCGAACCCGATAATACCCGAAACCGATAAAATCCAAAACCAGTTAGATTTGAAACCGATAATATCCGAACCCGATTAGAACTAAAATCGATAAATTCAGAACTATGTTTGCCTTTCAATAAGCATATTATATTTTTAAATTTTTACTTTTATTTTATCATTTGAACTGATTACATTATTTGTTTATTCCCTCATAAAATGGATTATCTTCTTGAAAAAAAGTACAAAATTTATGCCTTAAATTTATTATATGTAGAAATTAAAGATAAGTTATACATATAAATGATAACGCACAAACAAATAAAATTTCCGTAATTTTTAAATAGTGAAGTGTGATATTCTTTTTGGGACGAAAGGAATATATGATGAATTGTTTGGAATAACTAGATTTTATCCTAATTTCATCTCATTACAATAAATTTTAGTGATTTGAGAGTTAATTTGATTAGTTTAAAATTAATTCACTCCATATTAGTCAATAAAATTAGATGCTAGTGTTAGCATTTTGAAAAGACTCTCTAGTGACAGCCTTTACTGTTATCATTTTCAAATTTGATTTACACCATTACATTTAGGTATAAAATTAATTGTATTTGACTCTATTAAATTTAATTTTCTCTATTTTCAACCAAATATACTCAATAATTTATAAATTTTGCACTCAATTGAATAAAATGCACTTAATTTCACCTAATTTTACTCAATTTTTACCAAATTATATTTAAATGGAACATAAGACTATTTGAATTTATCTTTTATCCTTTCATTTATATACATAAGTATATTAATAGATGTGAGAAAAATTTGATATTTCAAAACTAAATTTTAAAATCAATTTAATTATATTAAATTTATATCATAATTAAATATATATGTTTTCATAATTTATAGTCTAAATTTATAAAATATGACTAAAAAGTCAAAAAGGGAAGATTATTTAGGGTAGAGATAATATAATTAGAAAAAAATATAAAATAATATGAGGTATTGAATTGATGATAGATTGATAAATGTGATAAAACATAAAAAGAAACACGGATAGTTAAATTTTAATTAGAAAATAATGTATATCCAAAATATATATTGATCCGAAACCGAAATATATCCGAACCGAACAAGACCCGAAACCGAAATATATCCGACTCAAATTGTATCCGGACCGAAATCTATCCGAACCGATTTATAACCGAACCGTATCTGAATCGACTCGAAACCGAACTGAACCGAAAAATGTATAGAACCGAAATCAAATCCGAACCGAAATTTAACCGATCCGAACCGAATCAAACCGATTATAACATATAACCGAAAGATATCCGAACCGAAATAATCCAATCCGAAACCAATCCGGTTGATCCGATTGCCACCTCTAGGAGTAATAGAGTATACAGATTTTATTATTTTAAGGTACAAAAGTTTTTTACTTACAAATTTCGAAAGACTTTTTTATAAACTACATGATTCGTACAATTTGTGGGAACATTGTCTTTATTGTATATCAGAATCTTCAAATCATTATAATATGTTAGTCTTGAAACTATAACATAAAGTTTTTTTAATAACTTACCTTTATTATTATTACATTTACTGTTGTTATTATTATACGGTGCCATATTATTACCATATTATTATTATTATTCTTTCACTTGTTACTTTTTTTATTATACACGGTACCAAAATTTATAAGGTATGAAATTACATTAATAATTAATAATTAAAGTTTCATATGTTAGCTTTTTTATTACACGGTACAAAAAAAATATAAGTTATGAAATAAACTTATTAATAATTAATAATTAATTTCATAATTTATAATTTTGGTATAAAAATATAAGGTATGAGAATACATTTTTTAAAACTAAGTCAACACTTTCATTTATTTTATATATGGTAATAGCACAAAACTAACTTACCTTTATTATTATTATTATTATTACGTTTATTATTATTATTATTATTATTATTATTATTATTATTATTATTATACGGTACCATATTGTTATTATTATTCTTTCATATGTTACCTTATTTATTATATATGGTACCAAAAAGTATAATGTATGAAATTACCTTATTAATAATTAATACGTAATTAAAGTTTCACATGTTACCTTTTTTATTATACACGGTACCAATATCAACTATTACGTTTATAATTATTATTATTATTATTATTATTATTATTATTATTATTACCCGATATCATATTTATTATTATTTAAGTTTCACATGTTACCTTTTCTATTATTATTATTATTACGTTTATTATTATTACACGGTACCATAATAATTAATAATAAGTATAAAAGAAAAGTGAGAGAGTAAATAATTACTACCTTCATCCCACTCTCTTTGTCCACTTTTGACTTTCGAAACTGTTCATCTAAGCACTTTGACTCATCAAATTCTCTCAATGTGTAAGCCTAAATATAGTCATGTGTGATCTTGTTTGATTTGTCTTAACATATAGATTATTAATATATAATTTCTATAATTTTTTAATATACAAATTACAAGATAAAATGAATTAAAGAAATGCATTGGATGGTGTGCCAAAAGGTAAGTGGACAAAGAGAGTGGGACGGAGGGAGTATGAGATTACCTTATACACAACACTTACATATTAAACTATTGAATTATACAGGCACGGGGGCATTATCATTTTGCACTTACCATTTTGAGTTTTAGCACTTACCATTTATGATTGAAATGTTTAGGCGGGAAAATTTAATGGGGAATTCCCTTCTTTTTAAATATAGTATAGATAGATTTATTAATTGCATAAGACTCAACTACAAATTTTGTGCTTATTACCATAGTCTAAGTCATAATAATTAGTCTTTTTTCCTTCTTTTTTTACGTTCAATAATCACGAATAAATGTTTATTTAATGGTCTATCATTATTTTTGTATTTTTTAACATATTAAATATCGTTTATGAAATTTAAATATAACGTAATTCTGAATATTGTTGTACAGTCATGGAAACAAATTGTTGTAGTATTTAATACTGGTAATTATTTAGCATACCCATGAATAATAAATAAAATGGTTAGTATTTTATACCATTTCTTATGTTTATTTTTTGCATTCAGACTACGGTAAAAAAACAAATCAGCATAACCAAAAATTTAATACGGAGTACTTAACTTTTTTACGTTTTAATATAAATGGATAGTATTTAATACTGGTAGGTATTTATCATACCCATGAATAATAAATAAATTGGTAAGTATTTCACACGCACCATCTCTTACGTGCATTTAATACTTAACTTTTTTTAGGTTTTATCTACCAATTTAGTCTCACCGTGTGATAAATTACCAATTGCGGGTGCTAATATACCATGTAAGGTATCAATCCTCTTCGGCAGGGAAACCAAAACTTGACTTCCCTTCTTTATAAATAAAGTATGGATATGGATGGCAGGAGAGAAATTTTGGTGTTTATTTTAGAAGCAAAGTAAATTATACATGGAATTATACGTGGAATGCAACTCTACGGTCTTTAGTAAATTTCCTTAAAACTTGGTATGTGGGGCTTTATAAAGTAAAATTTGCACTGAATAAGACTAAAACACAAGTCATTTCCGACAGGGTCAAACTTCATTCACTTTCTTTTAGACTTAAGTCACAAAAGTCTTGTACAACAAGATGAAACAAACTTCTTCAACCTCTCAACAAAGACTCTCACAAGAGTAGAAATGAGAAAATGATTAAGCACTATAGTTGATAAGAACACTCTCTTGAAAACAAATAGTTTTTTCTCAAAATATATGATTTTGAGTAAGAATTGAATGGAGGATTATAACCTCAAGATAAGAGAGTTTTGGAGTGTTTTTTCAGCTGAAAATCACCAAGGAATGGTGATTGAATAGGGGTTCAAAGAATATATTCGTTGGGGAAAGAAATGAAATGATTTTGACAGGTTTCAGCTCAGAAGATCGATCCAGTCCATGTGATCGATCCACGGGTGATCGATCCAGGCCATTGGGTCGATCTAAAAAGACTGCAAAGTGAAGCAAGAATGTTGAGCTGAGTTTGGGGGATCGATCCATGCCTCTGGATCGATCCTCCGTAGAAAAATTTGCGCACACTAAAAAATCGTGTGATCGATCCAACCATAGGGATCGATCCACTAACGGATAATTCTCAAACATGAAGGCCAAGGCATGTGTACGAGTTGGAAACAAGTTTTGGAG